CTCTCTACCTCTCCCCCTTTCTTCCCCTCTCTTGCCCTCTCGTTTTATTATTCGCGCTCGCTGTATTAGTATATTTATATGTAATAACTATTTTTTTCAGACAGCTTTATTCATTCATATTATTGAACCAAAAAGCTCTTTAAGCTTAAATCTTCGAAGTATTTTAAAACGTTTCTTTTCCAAAGAAGTATTGTTGCATTATACAAGTCAAAAAGAAGTAAATAATAAGAAAACTTTAAAAGCTACAAAGTTTTGTGCTTGCCTCCAAGGTTTGTTTCATATTACACTTATGTCGTGATGTATGTGAATATTAATGAAACTAAATAACTAACTTTTTATATAGATGCATGTGCAGCAGTTTATATAAATAGAAGCCCTGTAAAGGAAGGGACATTTTATATAACAATTGGAAAGATATTGAACAGTGTTCACGATTGGGATGGAGGACGTTCTGAACGAAAGAAGAAGTAATAGCGTACTTTTATTTAATGCTAATGATTTGTAGAATACTGTTAGCTAAATGGGAAACTATTAACTCTAAATTTTTTGACGAAATTGGGGTACTTACTTGAAAATTCATGATTGTACGAAACTTATTAATTTTTTTTGGAAGTTTCTTAATTTGGCCGACGGGATATACATTTCTATGTTTTCACGAAATAGTATTATACTTCACACAATTCAAACTATAATTTGTTCAAACATTTTTGTTACTTTCTTTTTGCTACTCATTAAGTATAAAAAGTGATGTTTTCTTTCTTCTTTACTTTTGTGGACAACATTATATTATTTTATAATAATACATATTTTATAATACATACATACTGTACCAATAATTTTAATATAATTTTACTATTAACTACTCGTATAACACTGTAATAAGTCAAATAGTTTATATATACATATGTATATTATAGTTTAATAAGATACTTATGTTACATATGAAGAAATGTAGCAATATTAGTTACAACACTACTTGAATAAAAAAGTATTAAAACATTTATGCATTATAGTATCAGAGCTTGATCAAGAAATAATAAAAAAGCTTGTATTCAGGCAGCCTTATCAGGTACTGATAAAAGTACCGTAATAGGGTAACCTGATTACACCTTGACTACTGATGACGTCATTATAGGTACCTGACTTGGCCCTGATAGATACCGGATCAGGTTTCTCGAATTCAGGTAATTTTATCAGGGCCTGATGCAACAGTGCGTTTCACTCCTTATTACATACCGGATCCGGCAAACTTATCCGGGCCCCTATTTTAAATATGGAAGCCGGATTAGGCTTTAACATGGCCTTGGGACGATATTCTGATCGGGCAGTTCCCGGACGATCATTGAAGTTAAGCATTGAACAACATGATCTAAAAATGGGTGCCCGCCTGACATAGGATCGAAACCACGCGAGTTTCACGAATAATTGAAATAATACGGAATATAAAATGTCAGTTTTTTTTTTAATTATTTAGACAAAATAATCATACATTATCACTTATCTGAACCATACTAATGAATAAATCGTTGGAATTCAACAAAAAAATATATGTGTTAATTTGCTAACAAATAACATATAACTTTTATATAACTTTTTAGTCACATGTTACTTTTATATTATATTCACGTTATATAACTGTAACACGTGTGAGTAGGAAATTACAACGAACATCTATATAACCTACTACATACATGTTATATTGCATGTTACATTCCGTTTCATTACGGCAATGTAACTGTTATATATCTGTGTTTGCTGGGGTATTATTATAATATATTATAACTATAAATTTAAGTTGTATAATGCTTATTAATGTGTTATATATTACATTCCCTTATAGAAATATCATACTAAGAATCATTGATAATTACTTATTATCCAATATTTTTAATACTGAAAATAAGTAATTATCAATGATTCTTAGTATGATATTTCTATAAGGGTTGTGTATACTGTAATTACATTTTAATTTTAATAATCTATATTACATAAATATTGCTTTCCACATTTTCATTTTTCATGTGAAATAACTTACAGTGAAAAGTGAGAAATGAAAATAAAGTTCACGTGAAAGATTCATGATCGCTACCTTGCTCTTGCAGTCTCATGAACACAGGAGCAGATCAGGGTACCTATAGGCTTCTTCGGAATCAATTCCGATCGGAAACTTTCAGTTATTTCCTAGATTTCTAGGGGAAACGGAATGTCTTTTCTAGGGGAAACGGAATTATTCCGATCGAAATTGATTCCGAAGAAGTTCATAATAGATACCCAGGAGCTCGATTCTTGATGGTATGCGAATAAGATACGCATGCGAAAATGTATTGTTCACGTTACGTATACTGTAGATGTTCGCATGCGTACCTCATTCGTACATCGTCAAGCATCAGGCCCCAGGAGTTCGTCTCAAGAACAACAAAGAGTAATATATCATACTTAAAGTGTATTAATATTTTATTTTATTTATTTAAAAAAAATGTAACATATTATTTCAGTTTATTAATTATTTGAGACTCTCAAACTCTTCTTAAACAAGGATTGAACCTGTATTAATAGTTATTACTTGAAACTTGTCTCACGTCAGATGATCAGATTGCAATTATCAAAGATTGCAAAGAGCTTGTTTAATTTATTTTAATTGAATTGTATGAAATACGTGACATATTATATATAATCTTGATTCAGCTGAAAAACTCACATCTAAGTATAAATTTAAAATAAAATATTAATACACTTTAAGTATGATACATTACCCAAGTAACACGTGTTGTTTAAGAAACGTTTTTGATATATTTTACAAACGATAATAAAACGTTACATACATTTATAAAACATATATACATTTATAAAATCAGAGTGAAGCCTGAGAGCGGCCACGTTATATGTTTTGGGCGATACCGATCTTCACGCTCTTGCGATGCGCCATCTGCACTCATTTTTCAGGTGGAACTACGTTCCCTACGCCCATTTTCAAACGATGCCGGTAAAGCAGCGATTCGGTGCGTGTCTATTCTACGCCCATTTCCTGACGATTCGTGTCCGTACTAAGCGCATAATTGCGTGGTTAAGAACATGGACTATTGGGTACGAACTTATATTCCATTCAACATGCACATGATCTTTTCTCTTTACGCACTGTCATTAATTTATTTACGTGTATATGCATACGAAATATCATGTGTATG